GCTGTCCAGGGGCTGCTTGAAGGCTCGATAATTCCTTGCTCATGCATTCCTTTAATCGCCTCTTGTGCAATGTCCACCTTCGCCAGTGGTAGACGCCGCGGTTGTTGTTTGATCGGTTTTTGGTTACCAGTGTCAATCTTGTGTGAAGTTAAAGATGTTCTCCCTATGTCACCTGAACTTTCTGAAAACACATCTTTAAATTCCACCAGCAACGAATACAACTGACTCTTTTGTGAATCGTCCAAACCTCCGGAACTACGGTCATAAAGCTTCTTTACCACTTCAGGTAACTCATCACTCGCTTCACGACTTCCAGGCTCAGTCTTCCCCACCACGGTCACACTGTCGATGATTTCACAACTAGCAACATCTGTACCTTCACGGACTATTCGTTCATCATCCGACATGTTTAACACTCTTACAGCAAATATGGGCTTACGAATATCTACAACCGTCCTTGCTACGAGAATATCACTGGACAATCCTGGTTCCTTGCTAGGGTTGATTTCTCCCCAACCTTCTTCAGAACTACCATCACCGTCCAGCATTCCTGGAATTATCGCTTCGCTCTTTGGTGGAACCAACCATGTTTCAGCAACCATCACTCTGCGACAAACTGATTTCTTTGTGGCTGTCATCCCCTTGAATCGAATTTCTTCCGGGCCAATACGCAAACAGGATTCTTGTACATCAACAACACAGTCATTCGAAATCAGAAAGTCTAGTCCCAAAATACACTCGTTCTCGACATCTGCAATCCATACATCATGTACGACTTTCAAATTTCCAACTTGAAAAGCGAGCTTACCACGACTTTGTACTGGTGTTGTTTCACCGGTTACTGTCCGTAATAAACTGTTTACTGGCTGTACATCAATGTCTACGTCTTTCGAAACTCGCCCCAATACGTCCGGTCTCAAAATTGTAATGTTAGATCCCGTATCTATCACCATGTCACAATTCACACCTTCGATACTGCCAGATATAATCAAACTGTCCGCTATTCCTTGCATCATTCCTGTTTTTAAGATTTTGGTTGGAGCATTCGGTTGAGCTGGCACTCGCCCCGTAGGACCAGCTACTTCCCGTTTCCCTGATCATCCGATTCTTCGTCATCATTGCGTGATTTTGGACAGTTTCTTCTAATATGATTTAAATCACCACAATTCCAGCAACCAGGCTCTTTCGGCGACCTTCGTTGTACCTTTACCGCTGCCAAAACACCGTCAAGACAAAGCTTCATCGACCTTTCCAGACGTTCGAGTATCTTCGTCATCTCCAACTTTCCCTCCTCGAGTTGGTTGTACTTTCTTTGCTCCTTCTGCTCTGTACCACTTGGTCTAGCTGCACGAAGTAACTCTGTTTCTCGTGACACTTTGAGACGCTGTCGAGCAGCTATCTGAAACGACTCCAACTCAAGACCAGCTTCCAAGGCTTTTCGCAGTGACTTGGGTCTTTCTTGCTTAATACGCAATCGGGTATCTTCATCAGTCAACGCATCAACAAACTGGTCCCGCGCGAGTACATCACGTAGCGTAGGAGGGGCGTCTGGATAAGCGAGTCGACATAACCGTTCGATATCCTCGGCCATTTCAGGCAATGACTCATCTTTCTGCTTGATGCGGTTTTTGAATTTCATTCGTGATAGTTCCGTTTGGTGACTTGTTCCAAATCGATTCTTCAACGCCACTACTAAAACATTGAGATTCTGACGTTCTTCCGGAGCCAAGTTACCCAGCACCGCCAAAGCAGGTCCCTTCAAACTTGTAGCAAGATAGGCTGCTTTTTGAAAATCATTCCACTTGTTTAATTGCGCCACTATCTCAAATTGCGCGTAGTAGGATTCCCATAATGTTGTGCCATCGAAGGTCGTTGGTTTCTGTAAAAGCTTGTTGGGTGCCTCAGCATCTCTGACGCGAACATTCGTCGAGGTAACACAACCACTATCCTCGGGTTTTAACGTGGGTGGGGTATATCGCCTTCTGGGTGATGGAAAAACGGGAGTCGCAATTTTGTTGGCACGAATGTTCTCGATACCTTGCGGAGAATTTTTCACATCCCGATTTAGCATTTCTGAATTTTGTTTCCTCGTTTCTTTCAAGTTAATTTCGGCTAAACGTTCTTCGAGAACGCTTTCTTTTAACTTCGGCACGAGTTCCTTTTGGATTGTGTCTATGCCCTCGCCGCATCTGTCTACGCGATTCTCCACTACGTCAAGCCTTGCTTCGAAACATTCAACATTCACAGCCATAGTGTTTCGTTGACTTTCACCAGACTTTTCGACTTCACCACTCACGTACGCAAGGTCTGTCTCGACTCTGTCTAGTCTCCTTTCTAGCCGGTCTTGTCGCTTGCTAATTCCTTCCATTTTCCCGTCAATATCACCAATCAAACGCTGTATTTCGTTCATTTGCTTTGTTTGGGCCACTTTGTGCTCCATTATAAGCTCAGTTTGCTGCTTCATCATCGAAAATAACTCAACAAAATTCTCATCACTGCCCGTGCTACGTGTATTTTCTTCTCCTCCGCGGTCATCCATGTCGTCTTCGTTGGTTTCCTCACTGTTTAATCTCGCTGCCGATCTCGTTGTCATTGGCATACCTTCTCTAAAGGCATGAAATATCCCACCACTGCCACCAATGTTGTGCCAGATTAAGCGAGATCGTGTCGAAAAAAAACCGCTACAGAAAAGTAAAACAACTTCGTACAAACACGCTTTATTTACTAAAGAAATCACACCAAATCGCATTAAAATCGTCCTTTTATACACACTGTCAATTTACATAACCTAATTAGTTTTCACGCCTATATAGTTTTATTGTTCTATTTACAAATTTACATAGTAACACACAATACACACATAACACACATAATAGTCATTTGTCCCAATTGTTCTCTGACCGGCACTACAATATTTATGTTTATTGACAGTTTGGTAACAATTATAAATGGTCTAAAAAGAAAAAGAATATTGGACACTGAGGCAGCATTACCGCCTGGATTTACTTAAACACTGTACTGCCATTGGACAGCTACCTGTACCGTTGTACCAATAAGGGTGCTGTTTTATAGTTGTTCTGTTTAAATTTTTCTGTTCAACACTGTACACTGTACATCATACAGCTACGGTCATTGATGCAGCATGTACTGTATTGGTTACAGCTTTATACTTATAGGTATCATGTTTAAATTGTTCTGTTCAACACGGTAGATCGGACAGCTACGGTCATTTGATATATTACATTGGGGACAGCTTTATACTTATTATAGTTATCATGTTTAAATTGTCAGTCTGTTTAACACTGTACATATCGGAAAGCCACAGTCATTGGATGTACTGATACGGACTGTATTAGGTACAGCTTTATACTTATAATTATTCTGTTGAACACTATACACACCTGACAGCTACGGTTATTATACTTTTATATAGATTTGCTTTGATGGTGTGTAGTTTTATAATAATCTATCAGATTGTTTTTTCAAGACTGTTGATATTGGTTAGGGACAGGTCATTATTTATGGAAGGGGGGGGAGGGGAATTTTTTCTCTTCTAAATTTTTAAAATTGAAAGCCCCCCTCCCCTAAATGGCAGAAATTTAATGATGCCCCCCCTGCATATTAGAATATTTTTCTTTGACACCCCCCCCCCATTTTCATTTTTACTCGTCAAATGGGGATACCCAGGCGTTATAGTATTAATTATTAAATAAGAATATGGAACTGGCAAGATATTAACGTCGACCAAAAATATATATTTATTAGCAGAAAATTATAATTAAAAGAGGAGTATTTTTATATATAACACTAAAATCAGGTTTCCATTTGGTCTGGGCGATTGTAACCATGTTTAAGGCTGCAACTAGACTTGATGGTATGAAGTATTGCCATAGCAGCTGCGCGGCAACAATGAGAGCAACAATCAGTAAAATTAGCAGCAAAAGGAGATAGCAATGACAATTCTGCAAAGGCATACCTGCGAAATACAATGTATAGTGGTCTATACATCCTATTTTATGTGAGATTTAAAATTATATAAAATAAAATGACATATACTAGCTACCAGATAAAATCTTTTAGAATGAACATGGGTGGGTGGGTCGGGAAAAGGTATCGAAGCGCAAAACTTGCTGCAGCTAGGCAAAGCATACAATGGCAGAATGAATACCCAGACCCAAGCACTGATCACAAGGCATGAAACAACCCTCTTTGATCGATATGACGTCACAGACTCCCTTCAGCGGATGTGGCCTGCATAATACAAACGCCGTTAACTGCTTAATTTAAATGTATTTAACCACATCAAGAGCTGATGTAATAATACATTGTCAATTTAACTAGTCTGCAATCCGTAAAGACTGATTTGCATACAGTACACACAAGACAAGATGAATCCAGACTATTTCACATCAGTGACCATGATTTAGTTGCAACATTTACAACCAAATGGATACCAGGTTATTAAGCAAATTCCTTCAAGTTTAATTGCAACCCCCCCTGTCATTTTCTTGAAAAAAAATAATAGCCCCCTCCCCCTTCTAGTCATTTATTTCTGCATATGCCCCCCTTATTTTTTCCCTCCCCCCCCTTCCACAAATGATGACCGGTCTCTTATTGTTAAAATCGAGGATGTCGTTAAAATTAAACTGTTTAAACCTGTAAGATCTTCGCCCCAGTTCGGGAACATTTTATATTATGTTGTGTTTTACCAAATAATGTCCTTGCCCTTGCACGGTTCCCATTGGAAAAAACTGCTGTAAATCATATCCCCCTTTAATTAATTTGATCTCATCCGTGAGTCGGCCTCGAAGGCCTTTGATTCGTCGTAGCGAACGGTTGGCGAATTTTATCCCGACATAACATTTATGAACACGCATGCGCGTGGGCAAAAAAATTCGCTTCGCGCGACAAAATTCGCAAGTGAAAAACCGGCTTTAAGCCCGTTTTTCCACTCACGAACAGCAGGGAAATTTGTGCGGATGTACAAAAAAATCGCGGTCACTCAAACAAAAAATGAGATTTCTAAACTGAAAAGTTTTCGTTTTTTAATTTTGCAAAGATGCACGAATTGCAGTTGCTTTTACCAGCAGGTGTATGTTTTTTATCAACATTTTTTAATCGAAATTGGAAAAGCATCGATGTGGCAACGTCCTGAAACCTTGTATGGATGCATAACGTTATTTTTTGAAGTTAATATTTAAAGTTTGACAGCAGAGTGTTTTGCACGAAGCTGAACAAACCCTGCAAGTACATTTTGTAAGGACTCAAAATCTTCATGAAAGTGTTTAGGTTGATCTTCAGTGAAAGAGCAAGCAATGGTAGTACCGTGACGATGATTTTTATTTAAAAATTACACGCATTTTGTCGACGATCAGCTGCACAGAATAGCAAACGTGCGAGTTCCATACTCGAAGAGGACATGACCCACAAGCTTAAGTCAAACTGATTTTTTTTTACCTCTGCGACTTCGATTGCTACAGACAGTAAGCGAAATTGATTTTTTGATATTAAATCACCTTTTGGTTCTTTAATACATTCATTCGACGAGTAGTTGTTGTGATATTGTCGACTGAAAACATCAACGTGTGAAGAAGTTAATAAAAAACTTGCGCCATGTTAAATTTTGGTTTTGATCAAATAAAAAAAATTTCAGCTTTTGCTCCAAAATAATATTTGTTCCCAGGTGTTTAGCTTTCTTTTGAGGGCAAAGCTTGTGTTGTAAAAATTGCGCCGAAAGTAAAAAATTACCCGTGAAACTGTAGTGTACACAAAAATATGTTAATCATGGCTGCTGTTAAAATCACTAAAAAGTCATAATATTTTTTGACAATACTTTTAGCAATACGTTAAATCGTTTCTTTGATGATATTTAAATATATTTTATTGCAAATAACCAGATGTAATTGATCTGATTTTTGTGGATCGCCAATTGAATTTGTTGTTATTATTTTTTGTTGTTCGAGGAAAGGCTTTTACTCATTCAAAGTTAATTTTAAAAAATTCTGCCTTTTGCTCCAAAATGATTTCTATCGTAATTTAATCTTTAAGTGTATGTCTAAACGCTGAACGTGTTGTTTTGCTCGTGAAAATTGCGCCACAGGTTTTTGGGTTATACAAAAACAGCTTGCATTTTTGGACGACACTACACACGTCGAAGCAAGCTTCGAAAGTCACGACGTAGTAGACGGCTTTTTCCTGCGGTTTCAAACGTTTTCTAATGTTTGCGGCAAACTACAGACTTAGGGCCTTTTCTAAGTTGTAACTAACTAAACAAAGTGGATTATAAGCACGGCAGAAAGCAAAATGCAGCTAAAACGTTTGCCGCCATTTTTTGTTTACATATTAGATTTTGAAAATTCCTGCGGCACACGCAATTTCCACGCGCACCACGCATTCTAATTCGCGCATGCTCAAACAAATTTCCCAGCTGTTTCACTCACGTATTTCGCCGCCGCTGGCGAAAAATTTCGCCATCAAAAAATTTAATTCTTTGTTCTTTCGCGCTATCAGTGAAAGGTCTGACAAAAGTTGAACATTTTCAACAACTAGAGAGGCGGAACAAATTTCTTCAGTGGCGAATGAATGTAAAAACATGATTTCTTTCTCAATTTTTTTCGCCGGCGGCGGCGAAGCTAATATCGAATCTGCCGACAGTCGAGCACCTCATTTATTAGTCATTCAATTATTATATGAAAATTAGCATTAGAAAGAAGCATTATAAAGATTTCAGGAAAAAACCTGGCAGCTTGAGCGTTTGGTGTTGTGGTAAGTAGGGGGAGCCCTGTGCAACGTGTTTGGGTTCGATTCCCGTTGGTGCGCTGTCTTTTTCGTCAATTTTGCCAAAGATTTTTGAAAGATTTATGAATTTGCGGCGGTGAAATAATGGAGTGAAAAACGGGCTTTAGACAACTTACACAACTGCTCAAACAAGCTTACACAAGTTCGCCGTAAACGAAAACATCCCTATGGTTTTTGCATCGTAGCAAACCATTACATTCAACAGATTACTGTGGCTTTATTTTTCACGATATAAAGACGAAATTTATAGGAAACATAGAACATCTTCTCTTAATGATTTTTAGTTGGTATTTTTGTTTTAAAATTCCGTTAGTTGGTATTTTTGTTTTAAAATTAAAAAAATGTTATAAACCATTATTGAGAATTTTATAAAAAATTGGCATCTTACTTGTTGTACCAATATTAGAAAATGTGCAAAATTCTAAAAAATTCACCAAAGGTAGTACGAGAAATTTAGGTTCAATTTTGTAGTATTTTTTCGCTCTGACGTCACACATTGTCAATAATCCGGTTGAATATACGAAGAAAGTAACTCCCGGGGAAATAACCCTAGGGAGCCACGCCGTGTTGACATGGGCTCAGACGGCATTGCACAGCGGTATCACACATGAGCGGCAGCCCAACTTTCGTCACCGAAAAAACCGCCCAGGAAAACTGAGCGAGGCGAATTTATAACTCTTCCACAGCCCTACAGCAGGCGGAGTAATGACATATTTTGGGAGACATGAAAAACGTTCCAAGGCACAATTTGACCCGTGTACAATATTCATTCATTGTGTTTGTATTTTTTTAAGCTTTTAG